TAACACATACATAGATACAAAAAGTATGATGTCTGTATATATGTGTGCTGTGGCGTGATCGTGGAGGGAGGTGGACTTTATCTCGCTGCTAGTAGTTTAACTGTATACATATGCAGTCACTTGTTGGGACATGGCTGGCTTCAGACTGTCATGTTGTAGTAAGTATTAATTATTGCTGAGCGTTCTCCTTCTTAATTACGTCGGTGCTAGGGTCAGGGTCTGACTAATGTATGCGTCGACGCACACACACGATCTTGGAGTCTTGCGTGTCGGCGCAAATATGTAGATTTTCAAACAGATGCGTGAATTCTAAACAAACTTTGCATTTTAAACAGTCTATTCTAGGACCCCCTCCCCCCCTCCTCCGCGCTCTCATCGCCGCCACCATCAGCTACAATCACGAGCGCCCGGGATCGAGGTTATGTTTATTCTCGCTCTTTAAACCTTTCGTCGCAGCGTTTAGACTCAGAGTCGGCGGTGGCGCCACCTCGAAAGAGAAGTTGGCGGGACAGTAAATCGTGGCGTGAGACACGACATGTCGTCGCTGCGATTTGCATCGTTCGCTTGTTTTTACTTATTTGCATCTACGTTTAGTTTAGAGAACGTCTAGCTGAACGCCTGTGAACGTGTGCGTGCGACGTGTGCGTGTGAGCGTGCGTGCGTGCCTGTGTGTGAGTGTACGTGCGACGTGTGCCTGTGAGCGTGCGTGCGTGCCTGTGTGTGAGTGTACGTGCGACGTGTGCGTGTGAGCGTGCGTGCGTGCGTGCCTGTGTGTGAGTGCATAGTGCTTAGGTGCGTGGGGGTGTGCGTGCGTGCCTGCGTGTGGGTGTGCGTATGTGTGAGCGTGCGTGCGTGCCTGCGTGTGGGTGTGCGTGCGTGTGAGCGTGCGTGCGTGCCTGCGTGTGGGTGTGCGTACGTGTGAGCGTGCGTGCGTGCCTGCGTGTGGGTGTGCGTATGTGTGAGCGTGTATGCGTGCCTGCGTGCATGCGTGCCTGCGTGTGAGTGTGCGTGCGTGCCTGCGTGTGGGTGTGCGTACGTGTGAGCGTGCGTGCGTGCGTGTGGGTGTGCGTATGTGTGAGCGTGCGTGCGTGCCTGCGTGTGGGTGTGCGTATGTGTGAGCGTGCGTGCGTGCCTGCGTGTGGGTGTGCGTATGTGTGAGCGTGCGTGCGTACCTGCGTGTGGGTGTGCGTACGTGTGC